TGAAGTCATCCTTGTTTCAAAGGAAGTCTCAAAGCTATGCAATCTTTGAAACTTGTGGATATGCCAGAATTGAATGGTGTGAGCTTAAAATGCTATCGATTCCTCTCTAGATCCCTGTTGAAAGTGGTTAGAAGTTTGGTAAGAATAAAGTAACTTTCTGACTTTGCATCCTGTTATTGCAGGGTTCACATCTTTGATCTAGTCTACATATCATCATCAACAAGATTATGTATAGGAGGTGTTCACAGACAGAGACAACCTTCTTTCCCATTCACAGTCACAAACATTCCCTGAGGCAAATGTAACAGCTGCTTAGATGGAAAGTATTTAATGGCCTAAAATTAGGCTCCTAAACTTAAAAGAAGTGGGCTGATTTTCATAAGTGCGGAGCACCCAAATCCCGCTGAATTCAAGGGAAACAGTAGGTACTCAGTAACTTTTAAAGAACAAGCTTCCTCTGTTTAGGAAGCAGACACTAATGACCCAGCATGACTAAGGCCCATTGGGGGTTCACTACTTGGTCAGCAACTCTCGTCAGGCTTGTCAAGGTCACTACATCTAACGTGCTGTTGTCAATCAGTATCTACAAGGTATCATATACAAACTGGTAACATGTTGGTCCCAAAAATCATTGTGTGATGGATGTATGATAAACCCACAAAAGGACTTTGTGGAGATGTGCTGCAAATGTGTTCTTAAAATATATTTGTCAAGCAGTATCTAAACCATGCCTCTTTCAGACCAAGGAATTTGGAGACACATTAAGCAAATGGAATCAATGTAAAGGCATCACTAAACACAAAGAAAAATACATTTACGTGCAAGTAAACAAAGCCATTGAAAAATGAATACTTAATTTGGCTAGGGAATGGAGACTGCACCCCCAAGGAATCTTCTGGCCTCCTGAAGCAGGGTCAATGAACTTCGGGAAGACAGTATGGCATCTACATCCCAGCAAGATGTAGGGAGCCCTTTGTCTGGGCTTACTTTTCAAAGAATATATTTCAAAGGTTTACTGGACTATGAAGACAGGGGTCGGACACCCAGGTAATAAGCAATTGAAATCAACTGTATTAAAAGAGTATCGAGTAAGGGAATTTATGAAAGCCTGTGACACTGGTGATTAATATAGTGAAATGTGTGCATTTATGCTACACGAGTAATTATGAGTACTCATTGATATTATGCTTTAAAGTCTGAAAAAAATCCAGGGAGAAACAGGTTTTCCTCAGACAGGAGGGAAGGGAACTCTCTACCTTCCTCCAATATAAATTAAGCATTATGGAATCAAAACAATGGAAGCCCCATTTACTTATGAATCTGCAGGGGGATGGGAAGTCAATAGGAAGGGAAGAACAGCTGGAAGTCTTCCTTCCTCTTGTAACAGGGTCAATGAACTTTGGCAGATATAAGCAGAAACAGAAAACCATTTTGGAATCCAACACTGCATGGATTCAAGGGGGCCAGAGCTCTTGAAATCACAGACTGTTGGGTCCTTCAGCAAGGAGGGGGTTGAAGACTGAACTGAATTTAGGTGAGATATCTGCTTAGGCAAAAGATTATAACTTGCTGAAAGTACGTTTTAGTCTTAGATGTGTATCTTTACTTTTGTTTGCTTGTAACCCTATCTTTATGCCTTATACTTAGTATCACTTAATCCTATGTTCTTTGTTAAATAAGTTTGTTGCACTTTTACTCTGAACCATTTCAGTTCTCTGGCTGAAATACAAGTGTTTGTGCAAACCCCAGTTAAATTAATGAACTGTAATGTATTGTCTCTTTTAAAAGAGACAATACACTTAAAACTTCTGTGAGTGTTACAGCAGAGAGCTGGACACTGCAGGGCAGATAGTTTGGGGGACATTCAGAACTGGGGGAATGTTGGGGTCACCCTGCAAAAAGTAACTGGGTGGTGGGAGCCAGGGTGTGACTTGCGTGTTTGTGTCAAAGTTGTGAGCCACAGCAGCTCAGAGTTACAGGGCTGGTGGTGACAACCCCTTACTGGTCTGGGTTACACCCCAAAGAGTCACCCTCAGGTTGCTGCCTCAATAAAATTACTTTAAATGTAGCAGCAGGAAAATATAGCTGCATCACATGATCAGTCAGCCACCCAGAGGCAATCCTGGAAATTACAGGCCAGTAAACTTAATTTCAGTACCAGGCAAATTGGTTGAAATCATAGCAAACAGAATTATCAGGCCCATATAAACACAATATCTTGGGAAAATGTCAACACAGCTTTTGTAAAGGGAAATCATGCTTCAACAATCTATTAAAATTCTTTGAGGATGTCAGTGAGCATGTGCACAAGGGTGATCTAGTCGATAGAATGTACTTGGGCTTTCAGAAAGCCTTTAATAAGGTCCCCCACCAAAGGTTCTTAAGCAAAGTAAGCAGTCGTGGGATAAAAGTGAAGTATCCTCTCATGAATCATAACTGGTTAAAGAAGACAAAAAAAACCCACAAAGGGTAGGAATAAATGGTTAGTTTTCACAATGCACAGAGGTAAATAGCAGGATCCCCCAAGCATAGCAGTACTGGGACCAGTGCTGTTCAACATATTCATCAATGATCTGGGAAAGGGGTGAAGTGAGGTGGCAAATGATAACCATCCTGAGTAATTTTGTAAGTCCAAAGCTGCCTGTGAAGGCTTACAAAGGATCTCATAATACTGAGCGACTGAGGAACAAAATGGCAGATGAAATTCAAAGTTCATAGGTGAAAAATAATGCATACTGAAAAACATTATCCCAACTATACATACAAAATGATGGGTCTAAATTAGTTGTTTCCACTCAAGAAAGAACTTGGGTTCATCATGGATAGTTCCCTGAAAACAAATGCTCAAATGTGCAGCAGCAGTAAAAAAAAAAAAAAAAAAAAAAAAAAAAAAAAAAAAAAAAAAAAAAAACAAAAAAAAAAAAAAAAAAAAAAAAAAAAAAAAAAAAAAAAAAAAAAAAGTCGACAAAATATTAGGAACCATTAGGAAAGGGATAGAAAATATCATAATGCCACTATATAAATCCAAGATACATCCACATCTAGAATACTGCATGCAGATCTGGTTGCCCCATCCCCCCCCCAAAAAGATATTAGAATTGGAAAAGGTACAGAGAAGGGCAACAAAAATGATTTGAGGTATGGAACAGCTTCTATATGAAGAGATCAAAAAGACTGGGACTGTTCAGTTTAGAAAGAGACAGCTAAGGGGGTAGGGATGTGATAGATGTCTACAAAATCATGAACGGTAGAGAAAGTGAACGGGGAAGTGTTATTTACCCCTTCACATAACACAAGTATCAGGGAGTCAGCCAATGAAATTAATAGGCAGCAGGTTTAAAACTAATAAAAGGAAATACTAGTCTTATAGTTAGAAAGTTTCTCTAGTACCTAACCTGAATATACCTTGCTGCAAACTAAGGGAATATCCTAATTTAGGGCTAGATCCACATCTAATTAGACCAGCTGAGGATCTGGCCTCCTGTGCCTGAAAAGCCTGGTAATGTTTATATTGATATGTTCCCATGTAGTTTTCTGAATGTCCAGACCTATTGACCACACTTTAATACCTCCTTGATACTCCCTTAGGTTTGCAGCAAGGTAGATTCAGGTTAAGTACTAGAGAAACTTTCTAACTATAAGGCTCGTTAAGCACTGGAACAGAGTACCTGAGGAGGCTGCAGAATCCCACCACTGGAGGCTTTGCAAGAGCAGGTTAGACAAACCTGTCAGAGAGGGTCTAGGTTATTTGATCCTGCTGCAGAACAGGAATATCTAGCCCTCTGTTTCTATAATCCCATCATCATGTTGCTCCACAAACATGTTGCATTCTGAGGAGAGGATAAGTTGATCATCAACCAAGATTCATAATTTCAGGAGCACAGGCAGTCATGTTCATGGCCCAAAGGGCCAACATTTTACCAGCACCATCCAGTTTCAGATCAAAGTATAAAGTAAGGGACATTCCCTTCATACAAAACATCACCAACCTATCTCCTGTAGGGGGTGGTGAGTCCGTTCCAATCACACAAAGAAAAGCCTGCCTCTCAAAGAGGGACGGCAGCATCCAGTAGTAAGAGGAGACTGGCTATAGCATCCCTCAGAACGTCCTGCAAATCACAAGCCTAGTATTCTCTGTTTCCCACCAGGTCTACCTTGGTCTTTAATAAGGAGTTCTTCTTAGCCAATTCTGACGTCATATTGCTATGGTTACTCCAAAAGAACTAAGCCAAAGATCTTGTCAGTAGTAGTAGTTAACTGGGAGCCCAGTTTGCTTCAAATTGTGAAGACGGTTCCTAGAAGACCTCAAACCTTCCTGATACTGCACTACTCATTTTTAAAGGGTTTCTTCCAGCTTCTGAAAATGTAAGGCTGCTTACTCAGATGCAGAAAAAGTAGAAGCAGCTGGAGGCATTGAAACTGTCCAGTTCATTTGATACAGCTTGCTTGGTCTTAGTCAGACTAAAATCTTCCATTAACTGATAAGTCAACATGGAAGAGGAGTAAACAGTTGTCAGGAAAGCTTTGTGCATGCCCATGATTTAGTTGCATATCAAGACAGCCGCGGGGAACTTGGGTAACAGTAGTATAGTAAACATGACTTTCCACTTTGTCAAATTTGCCTCCCTAATGTTCTCAGTCTAATATACCAGGACAAGTATATTTAATTGCTGCCTCCGCTCCCACTCTTCCCACTAAAGCGATGTTAGGAGCCCACTTAACGTGCTGCTACCATATTGGTCCATTAGGCCTCACCCACTCCCTGAGATTTACTATTGTTATTACAACACTTACCTATGTGCTTTTGTTTTGTGTGAACAAACCGATTACCACCAAAAAATGCCCAGAAGTACAGAATACCCACACCACTGTACAGTACATTAAGTTCATAAAACACTTTTTTTTTAAAAGACTTAAATCCCAACTTCATAAGTCCTGAACAATTCAGTTGTTTCAGAAGCTAATTTTCAACTGATGAAAAATTTAAAAAGAGGGTTTACCTTTTCGCCTTTTACTCCACTACAGTCACATTTGGATCCTGACGTACATCCATGGCAAGCCTTAAGAGAAATAAAAGGATATCAGACGCTTTTAATTGCAGGTTGAATGCTACTCCTATGCAAGAGTGCACTAAATATTTTTAAATGCCTTAAATACTAGTTTTAAAATCCTTACAAGTCATCTAGCCTGCATGCATGTGCTCAAACTGGATATAGTTTATAAAAGTTTTGAAGCAGACTAGTTTTATACATCATGCCCAAGGTGGGAGGTACCCTATATTGTAAAACTTAGGCATGAAATGACCCCAGCCTGGGGAAACTCTGAGCAGGTTTCTAATCTAAGTTTTATGTATTTATTTATTTTTTACACTAGTAAGGTAGTAACATAGCTTTCCTGGCCAGGCTCCAGATCTGGGAAGAACATTTCAGTAAGGGCTCCAGCCACTAGATGGCACTTTTTGAACAGTATTTACACAGCTGAGACCAAACCTTAACAGGTTGGATTTATCAAAAGGCTAATGGAAAGGTACTTATTACATGATGAATTCCACCTCTACAGCCCAGTTACCATCAGAACTATAAAAACTTAACAACAGGCATATCCCCATCAACTTTGTATCCAAGAGCATGACAAAAGTAGGCTACAATGGGTCATTCTAGCATAAAGGGGAGAGATAGATTTGCACAGATCTGAGCAAGAGCAATTGGTGATAAAAAACCCAAGCCAAATCACACTATTTCATCACATTCACTTAATTTCTAACCTATTTTCTTTCAACATCTGTTACAGAACTCCAGAGTTCTTTCAAAGATATGACTAGACTGACTGGCATGTGGGTTCTTTAATTCCCTTTACTCCTCCCCCACCTCCACCCCTCCCACACAGCTGGAGATCAGCAGCTGAAGTGTTTTGTAGCATGACATCTCTATACTGATATGTAGTGATTGTTAAGCTTTTTTACAGTTAGTTAATCACAAGCAGTAACACTAGAATGGTCACAATTTGGAATAGTTTGACTTGTTCTAGACAAGTGTTATTACTAAAGTACAGCACATGCTTTAAACCAGCCCTGCACAACATGCGGCCTGCGTGGGCTCACTGTGCGGCCCACGGCGGCGGGTGAGGGAGGGGGGCTGAGGAGGGAAACTGGTTGTTTAGATTTTGGCAGCTCATCACTGGCCGGTGGGGTGGGGGGCTGAGGAGGCGAGCGGGCGGCGGGGGGCTGAGGTGGCGAGCTATGAGTCGAGTCGGTGGCTGGCCTGTTCTACTGATCTGGTCTGGCTCCCATCCCCTCTCCAAGGGTTGCAGCTGTCTGGAGGTGCCTGCCTTCCATGCCTTCCTCATTCACACCACATTCATTCAACGGGTCAACTGATTACAAAGTGGGGGGGAAGATCTTATTTATTCTACTTCTAGCAAAAAGACATTTTTCTTTTACCTTAATTATACTAACTTAGGGGCCCGCTATAACATATTACCAAGATTCAATACCGTTGTTTCGGTGGGCCGGCGCTGGGGAAGGAGGGTTTGTTTCCGTGGGGCGGGCGGCGCTTGGTGTGTGTGTGTGTGATGTTTCGGGGGGGTTGGCGGGGCTGGGGGGGGTTTGGCCCTCAGCTGTTTCCTTTGGAGTAATATGGCCCTCGCCGCTTTACGAGTTGTGCAGGCTTGAAACTTTGCAATACTAAAAAACTTTTCAACATTTTATATCCTGCCTACTGTATTTTCCACTCCATGCCTCTGATGAGGTGGGTTTTAGCCCACGAAAACTTATGCCCAAATAAATTTGTTAGTCTCTAAGCTGCCACAAGGACTCCTTGTTATTTTATACAAAGTAAGTTTCAGTCAAATAGGCACAGTCCTTTGCGTGTCAGACCTTCGGTATGCCATGCTTGAACTATTTTTCCTTATCAGAGCCTCGCTAAGACATGACCCATCACCTACCTGGCACTGGAAACGTACTGGCTCATAGCCTAAACAGATTATTAAGCATCAGACTGAAAAACAGAACTTCATTCACCTGCAGCTATGCTAATCTGGGATGGTGTTAATTGTTGCAGTGAGACAATTGATGTTTTGTCAGCTGTCACAATTCTAGTGCAACCGCATTAAGTCATTGAGACATACCCCAAGTTCTCCATTCATCTGTTATAAGTAGTTCCTGTATTTGGAACTCTTAAAGCAGGGGTCGTCAACCTCTGGCATGAGGCTCGCCAGGGTAAGCACCCAGGAAGCGCTGCGGGCCGAGGGATGTGTTGGCCGCGGCTTCCCGCCTCCCCCATTGGCCTGGAGTGGTGAACCGTGGCCAGTGGGAGCCGCGATCAGCCGAACCTGCAAACGTGGCAGGTAAACAAACTGGCCTGGCCCGCCAGGGTGCTTACCCTGACAAGCCGTGTGCCAGAGGTTGCCGACCCGTCTTCAAGTATCAAACCCTTTGATCAGTAGAAGCTGAGTAAAACAGGGTCAGCCTCACTGATTAGCTAGGATCACATCATGCAATTTAGTATCCTAAGGGCCAAGAATTCTATTCAACAGTTGACTAGAAGATAAAAACAAATTTACAGTCTAAAAGTAGTGAAGATTAAAAAAAAAATTGATAGTGGAATTAAACAGGATTAAGATTAGTTACATGTGACATTACTGTCCCCCACCACAATACAGGCCCTAAAAAGCAAGGAAATCTCAAATTATGGAATATCTAACTGTGCTGTAATGCCCACAGAGCAGATTTCCAGCGACAAACTCCATAACACAACATGGAACTTTCTGCTGCCTCCAATAGAGAAGGAAACACTGCACATTAATTTCCCTCACAATATAATGCAACACAATTCCAACCTCAGCAACAGTAGCAAACATTTATTGCGGTCAGATGCATGCTGGTTTAGTGCATACAGGAAGCATGAAATTATAATTAAGGTTTTGCATTATAATACAAGTGCTAGGTTTTGTTTTGGGGTTGGGGCAAGGGAGAGAAGAATGTCACACTTAATCAACCTCAGTCCCTTTCAAACACAGTTTGTCCATGGAATTTCCTGGGTTTTTAAATGGAAAGTGCAGTAGGGTTACAGGGGGAGGATATGAAAAGGAATACGCATTACCTCGGATTTCCTCATGACCTATAGGGATATGAGAAGAACAGAGATGTTTAGGGTAGGAGGAAAATTGCCAGTGATAGGATGGAACCTGGTGAGTATCTCTACCCCCTCTTAGGCCTGACTTACACTAGAATATTAAGTCGGTTTAATGACAATGCTCAGATGTGTGAAAAATCCACACCCCAAGCAGTGTTGTTAAGTAGACATAACCCCCAGAATTCTTCCATCAACCTAGCTACCTCCTCTTGGGGAGGTGGAGTACCTATGCCAACAGGAGAATCTTTCACATCGGTGAAGGTGGTGTCTACACTGAAGTGCTACAGAGCCCTAGCTGCACCACTGCAGTTTTTTTAAGTGTGGACATACCTTCACTGCACCTCTATGAATAAGACAGTGGAAGGAAGCAAACTGAACCTCACCAATGCTAGAGACACCCCAAAATGATTTCAGTATGTAAAATATGCAGAGTGAGTCAGATCGAAAGTTGACTGAAGTTCAAGTAGCTTTGGAGCAAGTCCATGTTTTCAATACGGGTTCTTGCTAATTGGCATCAAAGCCAGTTCTTGCAAAAGGCAGACATAATATTGCCAGTATTCAGCAGTAGGAACCAGAATAGCAAGAGATAAAATACATCCTTCTCTGTAATGTGATTTATTAGAACAAATCTCTATTAAAGTGTACTACATCAAGCTGTCCTTAAAGTAGAGCTAAAGGTTCTTCCCTCCCTTAGCCTGCTTCCATTTTAAATGCAGTCTCCCCCCACCCCATCTACTTTTTTGTATGGTGGGGCTATAAACATTCCAATAAACAAACCTTTTTGATCAAAATTAAGGAATTCTTCATTTCTGCCTTTGACTGCACTCAAGAGCCTTTGCTATGCTAAGGCTCGACGCATTCTATTTTGAGCAAGACCCTTTCTTAGCATGTTTGATAAAAACAAGGAGTGTCCAGGCTGGACATTCTTCTGAAGGGCACAGTGAGTTCTGAATGCCTGGTTCATATGCTTTATCTGGGGTGAATGTGATCTTCAGCAATTTCAGAGTAAGAAGGAAGCTGGAAGACACCTCTGTCCTTCAGACAGAAAAACAAACAACAGTTTTTAGATGGTAGTGCAATCAGATGTCAGTCATTTCAGACTAAAAATCCTTGTATGAATTATTCACTCAGCGTATCAGGAGAGATTTCCCCAGCAATCTCATTTATCTTCCTGTTTATAGATTATTCTAATCCCCAAGTTGTGTAGAGCTAGAATTTGGCAGGTAGTTCAGGTGAAAAGACAGAAATCTCACATTTTGGCTTGGGTGATAACCAACAAGTCAGATACTGAAAAAACCAAAGGAGACCAATTTCATCTGCAAATGAGTTGTTTGTTTAGGTTCTTTTGGTAATATTAAGGTCACTTCTAAATGGAAAAAGTGTGCACAAGAAGAAGGCTGCTGACATACAGCACGTATTGTACAACAGTACACCAGGGTTTACATTTTTTTTTTGCCAGACACCTGCTAACCAGAAGATTACAAGCCAGAGGCTGAAGAGTTTTGGTATCACAAGTTTACTGTTAATGTGGGTCATTGAAGTAATAGAAAATGCAAGCCCTGTGCGAAGCACAATTATGCCTGGAATTTCTCCTCCTCTGCAACAGTGATAATTTCTTATTCAAATCTTCAGACAAGCTTCAGGACCACTGTTACAATACAAGCCAGCTCTCTCAACATCAGGGTTCCCATGCCTGAGGAAACAAAGGTCAGCATGGTAAGTCAGTCTTCTGCATGGCTACAGCCTTCAACTTGCCCTAGTTGATAACTGCCGAAGGGAAAAGCATCAGTATTAGTGAGAAATAATGCAGTGAAAGGCATTGAATTCTCAGGCCTGTAAAATGAATTAAAAAAAAAAATTTTTTTAAACCTATATAGCACCTTTCAGCATAGGGTGTCAGAGCATTGCAAGAACATTTATCAGGCCTC